GAAGCTGGCGGGAGCTGGGGGCTGGGCGGGCCACGCGCGGGGTATCACGGGAGCGGGAGTCCGAGGCCGGTCGGCCGTCACCTTAGATCGCGCCTGAAGAGCACAGTGCCCGCGTCGCGGCGGGAGAGGGGTGAGGCGCAGGGGCCTCAGGGAAATGTAGTCCAGGCGCCTCGCTCCTTCCGCCGGGAGTGGGAGAGTGAGGTCTCACCCAGAAAGCAAGCTAACTCTCGGGCCGCCGGAAGGTGTGGTTCTCGCCCCCAGACTCCTCCCGTCAGTCTTGTGTAGGCCACCGGCTCGGATGAACTACTACTCCCAAGGTGCATGGGGCTTCGGATCCTGAGAGCCCCCCCAAGGCACTGGGAAACGAAGTTCGCAACTGCAGGAGGCGTGGGCTGGGGAAGGGGCGGTGGCCGACGGTTAGTCTTAGTTCGAGGTACAGTCAGACCTCTCGCTATTACGCGCAGTGTGGAGGAAAGATGCCACGGAAGCCACGGCCCTGCAGTCCTTGTGCTCAAGGAGAGGAGGCGAGTGGCCAAAAGCTGGGCGGAACACGCGTTCTTTTCCAGCCTCGGGCCAGGAATCCCAAACTCAGACGCCGCGCGCCTTTGCTTGCTGTGGAAGGGGCAGTAACTTGGGTTCTTACAGTCTCGCCACAGGGCTTGCTGCTAAGTTTGCTTGGACACCGAGCCCTCGCGGCCCGCTGCCCTCGGGGGAGGACAGGGAACCCCAGGTGATGGAGGAGGTGGCTGCCGCGCCAAACAACGGACGCACGGCCACCAGGGGCCGCTACAGGACTAGAGGCAAGGCTGCGGCCTCCCCGGTCCCCACGCACAGACCAAAGTCTGGACTCGGCTTGTCCTGAGGAAGGCACAGGAAACGCTTTATTTTGGTGATGAAATCAACAGCCCCCGCACGGTTAACCTTCACTTATGCAAACTTCACTGCCTTCACCCCACACGGTATCGCTGGCCCAGGCTTCTGCGGCCCGTGGTCATCTGGGGGAGAGGCTCTCGGCGCCCCTCCTGCGGCGCTTCTTAGAGCCGAATTTGTTATGCATCCGAAGCCCCAGTGACGGGTCCGAAGCCTAGCCAGCCTGCTTGCCCGTCTTTCATTCTTTCATTCTTTGGCTGAAGCCAAAGAAGCTACAGACATCTCGTCAGGTGGAGGAGGAAGGGGGCCTACAGGGAGAGGTCGAGGCCGGGGATGGTCTGGAGGAGGAGGAGGAGGTGGAAGAGTATAGGAAGGTGGAGCGAATGGTCCATCCGGGTGGGAGCTGGCTGGGCGAGTGGCCGCGCATGTGCGCCTGCATGGAGGCCAGGCTAGGGCACCCGGCTCTGCACAGAGGGCAGCGGTAGGGTGCGGCCCCGTGTGTCCGCAGGTGCTTGGTCATGGCAGAGAAGTCCCGGGAACGCTGAGGACAGAGGCTACAGGAGAAGGGCTTCTCTCCTAGGACGGGTGGAAGGGAAGGCCGGTGAAGTAAAAAAAAGGGCGAAGGCTGGCGTAGGGGTTGACTTGGGCGACCTGACAAGGGAGTTGCATGGGAGCCTGGCACACAGAAGGACTTAGGGGCGGGCAGACCGGTGCTTGGACAGAAGCAGACAATTTACACTGGGCAGGGTGCCCATACCTGTGTGGACTCGGTAGTGTGTCTCCATCTGATGCTTGAGTGAAAACCTCTTTCCACAGACAGAACAAGAATAAGGCCGAGACCGAGCAGGAGGGGCAAGGGGTCGGTGGTGTGATGGGTGGCCTGCTGTGCCCACATGACCCACACAGGTTGCAAGTGCACCTGTGGGGACAGAGATGGCAAAGGAAGGCAGGGCTGGGAATCCCAGAGCCAGGTCACTGGAACACCCAGGCAAGACATCAGGGACTACAGAGGGGCTGAGGCAAAAGCTTCCTCACCCTACTTACCTGTGTGCCTCTGATCAGTCTTTTCTATCTCCCCAGGGCTGAGTTGTGTGGGGCCCTGGGGGAGGGGACCTGGAGGGAACAGAGTGAAGTAGGGGCCCTGTTCAGGCTGGACTGCTGCAGCCCTAGCCCCAGCCCCAGCCCCAGCAGAGATACCATGTTACAGATTTTATGCAGGGCAGTGAGGGGCTCACCTTGGGTAGGGCTGGAGGAGGCCAACTGGTTCTGGCTCCAAAGCCCTTTGTGGAGGTTCAGGGACAGTGGGATCCTGGGGATGGGGTG